CTGAATCTTAACAGGACAGCCCTAAGCCTTTCAGCTAGAATGTGTGTGGAGTCTCCTGCAATCAAGACATCGTCAAAGTAGGGGCAGACCCCTGGTATACCTCGTAGTGTGTTTTCCATTACGCTTTGGAAAATCCCAGGAGCGACATTTACTCCAAACTGTAGCCTTTTTACTTTAAAGGCTCCCCTGTGGGTCACAATGGTCTGAGCTATGGCAGCATCATCATCAACAGGCAGCTGTTGATATGCTTGAGCTAGGTCAAGCTTTGCAAAAACACGCCCCCCCTTGAGAGAGGCCAGGATGTGACTGACCACAGGAACAGGATAGGCATGTTGCTGCAATGCCTTATTGAGTGTGCATTTGTAATCAGCACAAATGCGAATGTCCCCATTTGCCTTTAGAGGCGTGACAATGGGGGTCTCCCACGGGCTGGAATCAACAGGTTCTAGGATTCCCTGTTGGATTAGTTTGTCTAGTTCAGTGTCAATCTTACTTTTTAAAGCAAAAGGGACCCTTCTTGCTTTAATCCTAATGGGAGTGACAGTGGGGTCTAGCTTTAAGGACACAGGTGGTCCTTTGAATGTGCCCAGCTGGGGGCTGAAAACATCTGCAAATTCTTTGCAGACTTCCTGTAGGTCGAGTGTTTGTAAGCTGTTGAGTCCTGTGACGTGTATCCCCAGGGCCTCAAACCAATCGAGTCCTATGAGACTCGTTCGTTCACCCCCTACTACTAATAAGTCTAGTGGACCTTCAAAACTCTTGTATTGCACGTTAAGGGTGGCCTCCCCCTTAACACACACTCTTGAGTTCTGAAAATCTGTTAATACAATATCAGAAGGCCTTAACTTGGCCTTAGATCCACTTCTGGAACAAATCTTCCTAAATGTATGCAATGAAATGATGGACAGGGCAGACCCTGTGTCTAGTTCCATAGATAATGGAACCCCTTGTAGCTTCACGTTGAGTGACAGCTTTTTCTTCATGGGCTTGTGTGTGCCTGTTCTACAGATGCTTCTTCGCGAAGCGCAAAAACCTACCCTATTCTGGCTGGGGAATCTGGTACCCTTCAGGCGTTCTTCTTGGGTTTGTGCCTTTCGTCGGCCCAGGCACACAGCTGCAATGTGCCCTTGTTTACCGCATGCCCGGCAGGTAGCGGAGCGGAACTTGCAGTCGGTTCTCCTGTGGCGACCTCCACAGCCGATGCACTTGAGCGGAGCCGAAGAGCGTCCCTTCTGGTTCTCTTCCTTCGCGGGGTGTAGACGGTCGACTTCCTCGTCCGGATCCTCCTCGGAGTTTCGTCGGACGTCTTCCTGGTGCACGGACGCACCCTCTGCACTGTTTCTGATCGGCCGCATGTTTTTGACGGCGCCGCCTGCTGCTTCTTCTGCGGTGACTTCCCTTAAGGCGTCTTGGAAGGATAATTCTTCCTTTGCGAAAAGTCTCTTTTGTAGCTCTCGATGCCTTAACCCGCACACGAATCGGTCCCTCAGTCGTTCCTCGAGGTCCTTGAACTCGCAGGGCTTGGCGGCCTTCCGTAACGCGGCGATGTATTCCTTGGCTGACTCACCGGACCGTTGATCCCTTGTTCGAAGATGTGGCGCCATGAGATAACGGACACCTTGGGGTTGAAGTGCTCCTTCAGCAGCTTCTTCAGGTCTGCGTAGCTTACAGACTCTACTGGGACAGGTGCTGCAAGGTTTTCTGCGATTTCGAAGGCGTCTTGGCCGCAAACGCAAAGCAGGGTGGCCGCCTTCAAGCTATCTTCCCTCACTTGGTTTGCCTTGAAGTAGTTCTCCATTCTGGATACGTAGGACTCCCACCGCTCTGGATGTGAGACGTCGAATTCCGAAAGCCTTCCGATTTTCGCCATCTTCGGATCTTCAGGAGACGGGTCTATCAGCCAGCCTACCCCCGAATGCGCACCGGATTGGCGGGCAGCTGCCGAGTCGACGCCGTTCCTCTTCCGCCGCTCAGGACTCCTTGGGTAAGCTTACACTTCTTCCTTTCCAGGTAGTGCAAGGCATCCCACCTTCGTCGCCAGTGTTGAGTCCGTGGCGGGAAAACAGACACGAGAAGCAGCTGGAGTTCTCAGTTTCATTTATTCAGCGTTCAGCTTACAGGAAGATGGCTTCAGCCTCGCCCAAACGCCTCGCAGCCTCTTATATAGGCAACTCCCGGGTAAATGGGTTACTTTTCCCGCGCCAGCACCCGCGCATGCGCACGGCGCTGGCGACAGCCTGTCTGGTCCCGGGCAGCTTTGCACCTGCCCGGGACTGCCTGCAAACGCCCGAGCCGTTTGCAAAGGCTCGGGACATAACAATTAGCATTTGAGAATCATGACCTCTTTTCCACAGCAGGAGATATGCACTGGTGAAAACAGAATAATAGCCATTCTGACCTTTTAGGATATGATTTATCACATAACTCATAGAATAGCAGATTCTGGGCAACTGCTGCAAAATCCTGGAAATAGCTTATTCAGCATGATCCTTGGATAAGATTAGCTCCTATTAGAGTTGAATAATGCTTTATAAATTTGTTTTTGTGTTAGATTTATCTTCAATAGCAAATAAAGATGCCTATATGAATAACAACAATAATGAGGATGAAGAGAAAGAGGAAGCTGCAATTTCCCAAAACTCCCTTGTAGCAGCTGGGAGGACTGTAAACATGGCTGCTCCACAAAGAGCCCACAACACTGAAATGGTTGGATGATTAGAAGAGGAGACCACCAAGTCTCTTGCATTGTTCAGGCAGGACCAAAGTGACCCAGAAGTCAAATGTTGCCTCTGAATGATTGTACTCCAAAAATCACTGAGAGACAGATCAAAGAAGTGGATGGACCAGGAAAAAAAATGAGTTGGATTTAATAAAACTGACATTTATTTATTTATTTATTAAAATTTATAGATTGCCCCACTCCCGCAGGACTCCGGGTGGCTAACAATAAAAACATAACATAACTTAACATTTAAATTTAAATGATATCACCAATACTGTTAATTAAATATTTTAAAACAATTATTTTCCAGTTTTTCTTTTCTATTATAAAATGATTATGATTTGGCCATACTGTTTAGAGGTCTACATGTGGCTGTGATCCTTGAGTTTCAGGCTTTGCATTCTTGTTTCAGAGAATTAACTCTTCTAAATTCCTATGACAAACTTTTCTGCCCAGTGTCATGGATGACAACTGCCATCACTTGTAAACAGGATGGACATTTTTGTGCCTGGCTGGAAATGATAATGAGACATGTAGGCCATACATCTGGAGGACATTAAGTTAGCAAAGCATGCTAAATACTATTTAGAAACACATGTCATATTGGCATTACTTGAATTATTCCACTATTTACAAGTGGGACTGATGTGATGAAGGAAGAAAACTGTCATTGTGTTGATTATTAGAAGTAAGCAGCGGGCTACCACAAGGCTCTGTCTTAGGTTCAGTACTCTTCAATATCTTCATAAATGACTTAGATGAGGGAATTGAAAGGGAACTCATCAAATTTGCAGGTGACACCAAACTGGCAGGAATAACCAACACCCCAGAAGATAAACTCAGGATCCAAAAAGATTAGACAAACTTGAACAATAGTAACTATCCAACAAAATGAATTTCAATGTGGAGAAAAGCAAAATTTTACATTTAGGCAGGAAAAATCAAAGGTACAAGTACAGATTGGGCAAGACCTGGCTCAAAAACAGTAACTGTGAGAGGGACCTTGGAGTTCTGGTCTAGTGGACAATCACTTGACTATGAGCCAGCAGTGTGCAGCAGCAACCAAAAAAGCTAATACAATCCTGGGTTGTATAAACAGAGGCATAGAATCAAGATCACACGAGGTATTAGTACCGCTTTACAAAACCCTAGTGAGACCACATCTGGAATATTGCAACCATTTTTGGTCACTATATCACAAAAAAGATGTTGAGAGTTTGGAAAAAATTCAGAGAAGAGCAACTAAGATGATCAAGGGCCTGGAGACTAAAACATCGAAGAACGGCTGCAGGACTTGGGTCTGGCTAGTCTAAAGAAAAGAAGAAATAGAGGAGACATGATAGCAGTATTCCAGTATTTGAGGGGCTGCCACAAAGAAGAGGGGGTCACGTTATTCACCAAAGCACCAGAGGGAAGGATGAGAAACAATGGTTGGAAACTGATCAAAGAGAGAAGCAACTTGGAATTAAGGAGAAATTTCCTGACAGTGAGGACAATTAACCAGTGGAACAGTTTGTTTCCAGAAATTGTGGGTACTCCATCACTGGAGATTTTCAAGAAGAGACCAGACAGCCACTTTTCTGAGATGGTATAGGTTCTCCTGCTTGAGCAGGGGGCTGGACTAGAAGACCTCCAAGGTGCCTTCTAGCTCTACTCTATTCTATTCTATTAGATCTGCATCAGAATCAATGTATTATCTAAATACATTGTTCTATAAATCTGTTTAATAAATAGCTTACCTGATTGTGTTGTTGCCATCGTGTGTGTTGTGAGGGTTGGGGGGTTGAACTGTAGATTTTTAACTGGATTTTTAATGTTGTATATCATCCAGAGTCATTGTATGCAAGTTGGGCAGCTATATAAATGTATTTAATAAACAAATAAATATTTTTCCCATAAGTTCCATAATATTTTAGTTCTATATCTCTATTTAATAGTTTCACTGCAGGCTTTCAATAGCAGCAGTCCTATTTACTTTTTGCTCTTATTGTTTTATTTTCTTTATTATAAAGCAGGACTTCAAAATTAATCTTTTTGTAGCCATATTGGATGTTGTATTTCAAATTCAGCAATCAAGACATTGATTCTTCCCTTTCATGGTCAGTTCCAATTAAATGAGTTGAATCTAGTCATATTCATTGGAAGATGTAATTAATAAATCATACTTTTTCATACTGAAAAATATAAAACATAACCCGAAGTTTCCAGCACACATAGCTTATACTGTATCATGTGTTATAATATTAGCTGAGAGGAACAGGTATAATCAAAATCTTACCTAAGCATTGGCCTGACACACGCTCCATCTCAAACCCATTTGAGCATTGTTGCTAAACAGAAAATAAAAGAGGATCAAACAATGAACAATTGGAAGAATGCAAAATTATAAATCAGAGAGGATATCATGCTTTTCTTTTTCCCTTGGTAGCAGTGAAAAAACCAGCTACCAAGATGAGATGATATAGCCACATGCATTTTTTATATTTGGTAAAGTTTATAATGAATCTAATATTGTGTCATTTTTCTCTTTCCCCTATGCCAGCTCATGTAATCCTTTCTCTTCTTTCTCACACAGCCTGTATCTCACCTGTGTCATTCCATGACTAATGAGACAGCCAACAGCCATGAAAATGGGCATTAACCTGCAAGAGATATAACAAAGTTATTATATGGATATTCACTATGGTGATTTAAAGTAAATAGAAACCAGCTGTTTTTTAACATAACAGGACAGCTTCCAAAATTATATATATATATAGTGCAACAAACTTGAAACAAACAAAAAATAAGAGAGCCAATTTCAATTCAATCAGAATAGAGCTGGAAGGGATTTTGGAGGTCTTTGAATCCACACCCCTGCTCAAACAGGAGACCCTATTCCAGTGGTGGGATTCAACTATGGGAACAACTGGTTCTGTGTGTGGATGCCGCTTCTGGAAGTCCATTCTGGGCCTGGGCAACAAAAAATTAGTTACCAGTTCTGCCAAAGTGGTGCAAACCAGCTGAATCCCACCACTGCCCTCCATTTCAGATAGGTGGGTGTCCAGTCTCTTCTTAAAAATCTCCAGTGATAAAGCACTTACAACTTTTGAAGGCAACCTGTTCCTCTGGTTAATTGTCCTCACTGTTAGGAAGTTTCTCCTTAAATCCTGGTTGCTTCTCTCCTTGATTAATTTCCATCCATTGTTTCTTGTCCTGCCCTCTGGTGCTTTGGAGAATAATTTGACCCCCTCTTCTTTGTGGCAGCCTCTCAAATACTGGAATACTGCTATCATGTCATCCCTAGTCCTTTTCTCTAGACTGGCCCTACCCAATTCTTGCAACTATTCTTCATATGTTTTGTCTGGTTAAGGTACTGTCAACAATGGCTGCAGCCATTTCCCTTGTCCTAAGTTGCCATAGGATTGGGAAGGGGATGGAGGATTTCTGCTAGTCTAAACATTTTACCGTCCTGTGGGAAAACAGGAGACTGTGATGGTTGACTTTGTGCCAGCCACTCTCTCTCAGCCCAATTTACCTCTTGAATTGCTGTGGGGAAAATAAGAGGGGGGAGGAGTATGAAGTATGTTCTCTGCCTTGAGTTATTTATAAAAACAATAAAGGCAGAATAAAAAAAATTAAAAAACGAAACAAAAACTTGGAGGGCTTCCCAACCATGAGCTAAATGTAAATAATCTCAGTACTGCATTCTGACAATATATCCCAATACCTGCAATAATTTAAAGCAGTGGTTCTCAACCTTTTTAATGCCGCGACCCCCAACCGGTCGTAAGTCGAGGACTACTCAACTGGTGCAGCACCGTTTGCAGAATGGGACTTTTGGCGGGCTCAGCAGGGCAGAGACAGCCTGGACAATTCCTATTGGCTTTGGAAAGCCAATAGAATTAGACTCTATTCAAGAGAGTCTATTCTATTGGCTTTCAAAAGCCAATAGAATAAAAGAGAGTAGCACAGCTAAGGAAAAAGGGGAAAAAATGGCGGACTGCGTTGTTTGGCGACCCCCGTGAAATGGTCGTTCGACCCCAAATGGGGTCCCGACCCACAGGTTGAGAACCACTGATTTAGAGCTAACATGGCAGAACTAAATCAGTTTGGTGTAGTGATTAAGACATCAGGCTAGAAATCGGGAGACCATGAATTTGAATTCTGCCTTAGGTACAAAGCAAGCTGCTGACCTTGGACCACTCAGTCTCTCTCAGCCTTAGGAAGAAGGCAATGCCAAACCATTTCTGAAAAGTCTTGCCAAATAAACTGCAGGGATAGTTCAGACAGATGCCAGGAATCAGCATAGATTTAGACACCATAAACAAAACAAACAAACAAACAAATGGCAGAATAACAGAGATTGAAATTGCCAGGAACACTAACTCTTTATCATTCTGTGTTATTTTGCTGTTTGTTTATTTATTTATGATAGCTTCACATTATATAGAGTATAAATATTATATACAAAACAGAGACTGAAATCAGGTCTCAAATAGTCAAGAGACTGACAGCTCAGAGGCAAAATGTACACTGTTTGCTCCCCATATCTGAGGAACCAGGATCTCCAACAGAACAGCCTCTGGCAGCAGTGTCTTCTAGAGATGTTAGGACTATAAGTCTCAAGTATCCTGTTGGTCAGAAATTCTCAGCATTATAGTCTGAGCATTCTAGAGCAGGGGTGTCAAACTTGCAACGTCATGTGATGTGTCGCAACATATCGTGACTTTTTTGCCATTGCTGGCAATCGGGTGAGCGCAGTTTCACTATGATGCATCCGGCCTGCGGGCCGTCAGTTTGACACCCCTGTTCTAGAGGGTACCACATTAAGGAAAACTGCTGGAGAAAAGTGGCTGCAATTCAGAAGCGTTGTCATCTTTTCCTTTCCAGCTATTTTTTTCTGTTCCACATGGTCCTCTCACTGTATTTTTTTCACCAAGGAAAAACCCATGGCTCATCACTCAACAGGATGACAGCCATTGATATGGATGAGGATGAGGACAGTAGAATCTGAGCAGGAAAAATGGGTAAGGATGTTGGGAGCTATAGTCCCAACATAATCAGAGGCACTCATCTGGGAGAACCTTCTGCATCATCTATCATGTCCTGCTGTATTTTTTTTCTCTTAAAATCTTTGCCGAGAGATGGTCCAAGTACAAAGGCAGACTGCATATCCCAAAGAAAGATTGTATTCCAAAAGAAGATTGTAAATTGTGGTCTTACTAAGACCACAATTAGAATATTGCAGCCAGTTTTGTTTACCATACTATAAAAAAGATGTAGAGATTCTGGAAAGAGTGGGGGGGAAAGCAACAAAGATGATTGGTGTCTGGAGGCTAAAACATATGAAGAACAGTTGCAGGAATTGGTTTGTCTAGTCTAATGAAAAGAAGGACTAGGGATGATATGATAGCAGTGTTCCAATATTTGGGGGCTGCCCAATGGTGGGATTCAGCCGGTTCGCACCACTTTGGCAGAACCGGTAGCTAATTTTTTGTTACCCAGGTCCAGAATGGACTTCCAGAAGCGGCATCCACACAGAGAATCAGTTGTTCACATATTTGAATCCCACCACTGGGGCTGCCACAAAGAAGAGGGGATCAACCTATTTTTCCAAAACTCTAGAAGGCAAGTCAAGAAACAATAGATGGAAACATCAAGGAGAGAAGAACCTGGAATTAAGAAGAAATTTCCTAACAATGAGAACAATTTAACCAGTGGAATGGCTTGCCTTCAGAAATTGTGGGTGCGCCATGACTGGAAGCTTTTAAGAAGAGATTGGACAGCCACTTGTCTAGAATGGTATAAGGTTTCCTACTTGTGCAGGGGCTGGACTAGAACCCTTTCAACTCTTGTTATTCTGCTCTGTTAAGGAAGAATCATTTCACAGGACTGGCATAAGTGACAGCCAGTATCTAATTCAACCGGACATTGTAGCCAATCTGGGCACCCTGAAAAACATATTCACATCTTCCAATGACTGCAAACATATATGGATTAGAATCATGTCTCATAAGAACTTTGAGTGCGTGCATGACTAGAACATAAGAAGATAAATAATTACTCTGCTAAAGCAGGAAAAATTTCTGCTGAATCCAGAATCTTTTCTATAATAGCCAGCCTGATGCCATTAAATAATTTCCCCTCCTAAGATAGAAAAACTCTATTAGTTGTGTCTACTGCTTGAGAGGGAGTCATTTTCAGAGGCATTAAAAGAAAAACGAAAGGCCATACCTGAGGTAAAGTAAATCTAGCAGCATGTAACTGAAGGTGCCAGATATTTTCCCCCTCATTTTTGTATCTCTTCCTCTGTTATGTCTTCTATTCAAAATCTAAACTGTATATTCTTTAGCACAGTGATTTATCCTTTATGAAACCCCACAAAGAACATTGAGCAAAGCCATAGAGACACTAAATAGCAATATAAAAACCAATCCAATATTGTTTTATCATTTCAGTTACTTCTTCTTTTTCCCAGCAATTTTTTTTTCCTAGTTTGCAAAATAAGAGAAATGTCCTCCTATAAGAGTGCAGTCTGGAACTACTTCAAGATAGTTATATTCACGGGGAAAAATAATAGACACAGCATATGAGATGTCGGTTCAGTTCCCTCAGGAGAAATTGAGTTAGTCAACAGCATATTAGTGGAAAATATTTTTTTTAAACATTCCGTTGCTGTAAACTGATTTTGATCTACAATAAATGTTGAGGCACTTCTGCACAAAAACTTTTTATAGATTCTGTAAATGGATGGCTCCAGTGATAAACAGCTGGATTCAGTACAAAGAGGCTGTCAGATACTAGATCTGCATAATACGAAAGGAATAAAATTATTCCTCCCCTCTCCCGCACAATCTCTTTCAAATAGAATGGCATGTATAAGTTAAGCAGCTGACTCAGAACTGCATTCAGCAAAGTATCCAAAAAGAAACAAAATAGTAACGTAACACAGAGAACATACCTTTTAAATGCTGTCATGTCCAAAACTGATGAATAAAGCCAAGGAGGTAAAACAGTAATGCCCGTACAGCTGAATATCTAAAAATGCTTTTGTACATTAAATCTTTTGCTAGAACTTCAGACCTACCATCATTTAATTTCCAGAGAATAAAAGGCCAAATCATAGAGAAACGGGGAGAGAGAAAGAGAGACAGAAAGAATGAGGGGAAGAAAGGGGAAGGAAGGAGGAGGGAGGGGAGGAGAGGGAAGGGAATCAGAGAGGTCTGCTCCTCCTCAGACACTGGAGTGAACACAGCAAAAGCACCTGGTTTTGCTTAGTTCCCTTCTGTAATTCAGCATTAAACCAATTGGAGGAGGAATGTTAAAAATGAATACTTCATTTTCTAAGTATGTTAAAACAATGCAAATGGGAGGCCTCAATTTAGGGACAGCTGGTTTAGATTAGAGAGCTCACCAACTGGCTAGACTCCTTACAACACTCCTAAGAAGCCTGTCAGATGAAAAATAAAGTGAAACAAATAAAAGCAAGGGGAACACTTCCTAAGCAGTGTAATGTAGGTCTGGCAACATTGGCATGAGCAATCAGCTTCTATCAAGATCTTTTAGAGAGATCTGCAAATATTGAGTTGTTCCTCTAGAATCTTGACTGCCTGGGACTTCTAGAATTGTAGCCCCAGCATATCTGGAAGGCATCAGGTTGTGGAAGTCTGCTTGAGAATGGCCTTACTTGAGGCTGTGAGGAATAAAATTCAACTCCAAAGGTATTGGAAAGCAAAACAAGATTTATTGAAGAGTTTGCAAAGGCTGATGGATCTCTATATCTGCAATCAAGAGAGCACATCCAAAATTAGTTCAGCATAAACCTTTACAGTAGTGGCCAAAATTGTGGAAACCTTTTGGGAAAAGTGTATTTTGATGGCTAATAACACCATTTTGGGGGGGAGTAGTACCATAAATTATATATCAATGGAAACAATTAAATCAAGAATGTAATGCAACAAAGTTTGTACAAGTATCTGTGCTGTATTCTATGAAAAGTTATAGCCAAATAACCAGAAAAAGGAAGTGCAACTTGCTTAGTTTGATATCAGGTAGCTTTCCTTCATCTGATTGTAGCCAATGAGCATGAGTGTTTAGAGAATCAATCAGGTGTCATCTTGTTTTGACAATGAGCCAAACAGATCACAGTAGGATTCAGTTATTGATGTCATGTATTGAAGCTGAGAGGAGGACATTTGTCAGTGTGTTATGTGATCGCTATCAAGTTGGTTGGGGTTTTTTTGTGTTCTTTCATTTAGTGAGCTTGTAAAACGTAATAAAATTAAAGTAATGGTGCAAAGAGTTGACTGGTTGTCCAGAAAACAATGTAAAATAGTATTATTAAGTGACAAGGCTACAGTTACAAAGAAATTAAAAGAAAAATTGGTGGAAATTTAACCAAAGGTGGCATTTCTACTGTACACTTTTCCCAAAAGGTTTCCACAATTTTGGCCACTACTGTATACCTGTCCCGTAGAATTACACCACATCCTTCCTTTCTAGACTTGGTTGATAGGCCCAGTCTGGCCACATGCTTTCCGACCCTGAAGCTTTGTGATTAATAGCTCCTTTGTTCTCATCTTATCTCTCCTTCTTTGTATGTGACATTCTACTAATTTAGGATGAAACTTATCTACAGGAGGAGCCTATCTATCTAAGCTGGATAATTTCAACAGTTACAAATGATTAATTTCTCAAAAGGCTCATTTTCTTTTCCAATATCAGCCATTTCTTGGCAATAGAATATATGAGAAATGGCTTCATGCAACTGATATGTTAGAACAGAGTTCCCCAACCTTTCCAGCTTGGTGGAAGGAAGGAAGCAGCAGGAAAATGTGCACTTGCATGGGCCATGCACACATGAGCAAAAAGGCGTGTGCATGATGGTGGTGCTAGTGTATGTATGCATGCGCAAGTGAGCTGTACACACCCATGGCAAATGTGCTGCTGTCTGCGTGCATGCGCAAATGGGCTGTGCACACCCATGGCACATGCACACATGTGCAAACGGGCCACTGGTGCCGTGATGCTGGCAGCGGTGGTAGTGTCCCAGCGCATGTGCAAATGGGGCCGCTAGTGCCAGCATGGTGGTGCTACTGTGAGTGGGGTGGGGCCCAGTGGCCAACAGGCCACAGCCTGGAACCAGGCCATAGCCCATAGGTTGGGGACCCCTATGTTAGGTTAACTTTGTCAATTGCCTCTTCAAGGATCAGTTATAACCATGTTATTCAAAATATGCAACAAATTAAAATGTTTGAGGAACTTTTATACGGTAAATGTTGAAAATTCCATTTTGGATTCTTTCTTCTATATGCCTCCTGTGTCAGTATGCTGAGATGAAGACTTCAGTTTGCCAAAATGGAGGCATGTGAGCATTTCCTTGCAGGATTAACATCACATTAGAACTACCGTATATGTATTGCTAAAATCTGTCCATTACATAGTGGTGGTGGTGGTGGTGGTGTTCTGTGTTTCTTTGCTGCCACCTTGAGGTTCCTTGGATTTTTGCAAACCTGATATGGTAGCCCTATATCACATGATTTATCTTCTAATCCAGCGGCTCCCAACCTTTTCTATACCCCACACCCCAGAACGCTTCTGATATATTCTCGCACCCCTTACAAAAGTTCAAAATAATGGTAACAAATTATGCATATATACTATAATTTTGAAAACCCAATTTTTCACACCCCCTGGAATATCGTCTCGCACCTCTTGTTGGGAACCCCTATTCTAATCCCAAACCCGTTCTTCCCCTCCAGAAAGATCCTGACATATTTGCAGCATACAGTACGAAAGTTTATTGGCTGGGTTACTACATGACACAGAGGGAGATATATGGAAAATGTATCATATTGACTGAATTCACACCCTGCGCAAAGGCAGGGTTAAGCAAATATTGTATTCCCATCATCATCATTCCATCATCATTGACCATACGTCCTAGGTAACCAACATCTATAATGCCACAAATTGCATACTAAATCTATTCAAACAATGATAATAAGGTGCTTCATAGCACGTATGAGTGTGACTCAAGCATTTCTGTTTTAAATTACCAAAGCTGCTGTGTCTTTTGCAAGGTTCCAACTGTAGAGACAACTTGCACCACAAGTAGATGAAAACATTGATATACTAAACACTGGAAATGTTGAGGTGTTTCATTATATATGATTATAAAAATTTCATTCAAGAAGATCTTGCCTTTGGTAAATTACTTCCAACAAGAACAGCTGAAATCATTTTATGCTAATTGATGAATTTATTATTGTAAACAATAGTAACTTAGAAAATAAGTGCTGGACTGAACAATGTTTAGACTGAAGCAACAGCAAAGTCCTAGGCTGTGTATGATTGCACTCTAGTATTTGCAGAGAAACACTGTGATAACTGTACCCTCACTTTTGAATACCTCTCTTAAAATATGTGTTTTATGAATTATATAAAATCTCATATTTTATATTCCATAATATGTACTGCTTTGTGCAAAGTGTTATGATGTATTGATGAAGTTTTCTTTTTACACCAGGATGTGCAATGACTATCTAAAATAAACATTTTGGAAGAACTTTGAAATAAAGAATTACATCCTCCATTAGTTAAAATATTTGAAGTTGAAAGATAGGTTTTGTGATTTTAATTTAATTTTGTTAACATTTGTGGGATATGTGACATACTCGCTTTTTATGTGACTTAAACCTGAAATTACAAAACACTTAATATTTTCATTGTTCATCTGAAACAACCATCTAAAAGCTTCATTTATGGACTCCTATTAACAATAGTCAATAGGAGAAAATTTTAAATCATTATGCATTTCAACTAAATTCTATGAGTAATGTGATGAAATGAGTACTTTGGCTGTGATTTCTGTAAGAGAACATCTCTTAGTGCTAACTTCAAACTTAAATTAATATTTTCCTCCGAGTGATGCCAATAAATTATGGATTAACAACCACTATTGATGCAGAAAATCAAGCCTTAATAAAATTTTACTATAATTCTACCTTAAAATGCATTTTAAGAAATTCTTTGATTTTGAATTTTTAAAATATTCACATTTATCTGAAAAAGCAGTCGAATACTGACTCCATTTCATCACAAAGAATTTGTATTCTTTTATTTTTCCATTTTAAAATTATGTATAGTATTTATATATCTGGGCCACAGAACAGGTACCAAAAATAATCAATCCCCATCTATTATTTGAAAAGCCCTGCATTAGTCACTGCTTCATGGGGCAAAATGGGTCTTCAGAGCCTTGTCTCATGTTGCTGCTTTTCTCAGTTGAGTTGGTTGTATGAACCCAGAAAATTTTAGTAAGGAAATCATAGTTAGTATACCACGCAAATTTATTCCCAATTAAATACAGGTCATTATATTTGAATATGAATATATTCCTCTACATCTGCAGTGTAATCAGAGTCATTTGACAATGAAATGGGCGTCATATAAATTTAATAAATTCCACTGTATGGCAAATACTGTGTCTCTGTTGTGTGGTGTCCTTGTGTGTATCTCAAGCTTCAATATAATTTCATTCACATTAGGATGTACAATTTTTAAAATAAGTCAATTATGAACATTTATTAATTTATTAGATTGTCTACCAGAGGCTCTTAAACATTATTTATAATTAGAGGATTAATTCTTCCAGTGTCTGTCTGTCTGTCTGTCTGTCTACCTACCTACCTATCTATCGTATATGGATATATATACATATATATACAAACATATATATATATATATATATATATATATATATATATATATATATATATATATATATTTCGACGAAGTCCCATTCGTCATCTTCAGGCTGGTGTTTTCAGCTTCATGCTTCGAGCAGCTCTAGAAAAATCGGATCACAAACCCAAACTCTGGCTCAGATACGTAGATGACACCTTCATAATCTGGCCACATGGGAAAGAAAAACTGGACAACTTCCTCACACACCTCAACAGCCTACACCCCAAAATACAGTTCACCATGGAAACAGAAGCTAACAACCAACTTCCCTTCCTGGATGTCTTAGTCTACAAGAAATCCAATGGCTCCCTAGGACACACCATCTACCAGAAGAAAACACACACAAACCGCTATCTGCACGCTCTCTCACACCACCACCCAGCACAGATCAACTCTGTAGCCAAGACACTCATCTCCAGAACAAAACGCTTAGCTGACGAACAACACCTAAAACCCGAACTACACACTCTCACCAATGTACTAACATCCAATGGATTCCATAGAAATAAGATTACAAACCTAATCCAAAAAGAAACCCCCACTAAAATCCAAGACAAAGAACAAGAAAACGGCAAAGCCCTCCTCCCATACATAAAAGGCACCACAGACAGAATCAGTAAGATCCTCCATAAACACAACATCAAAACAGCATTCTGCACAAACAGAAAAATATCCACCATCCTTAGAAACC